GAGCGCGCTACCGCTTGAGCCACATCCCCAGCCCCCATATTAATTCTTTTTTTTTTTTTTGAATGGTGCTGGGGATTGAACTCAGGGACTTGTGCATGCGCAGCAGACACTCTACCAACTGAGCTATATCCCCAGAACTTCAAACTTGTGATCCTCCTGAGTTGCTGGGATTACAGGCGTGCACCACTGTACTCAGCTTAAACATTTTTTTTTCTGGACAAGACTCACTAAGTTTCCCAGGCTGCCCTTGAACTTGTGACTCTTCTGCTTAGCTTCCCTTGTAACTTGAGATGGTAGGCATGTTCCACTCAACCCAGCCCTCTCTTCCCTTTTTGAATGTTGTTTCTCAGTTACTTCCCTTTGCTTTCCCTTGAAACTTGGGATTCTGTCTTTGACCTTCTCTTTTTTGGGGGGGGGGTACTGGGGTTTGAATTTAGGGGCACTCAATCACTGATCCACATCCCTAGCCCTATTTTGTATTTTATTTGGAGACGGGATCTCACTGTGTTGCTTAGTGCCTTGCTTTTGCTGAGGCTGGCTTTGAACTTGAGATCCTCCTGCCTCAGCCTTCTGAACCCTTGGGATTATAGGTATATACCACCATGCCCAGCTTATATCTTTCTTTTCTCCTTTTCTTTCCTTCCCCCTTTACTTTTTCCTTTCCTTCTTAACACCCAAACATATAGCTCCATTTACTTTTTGGGGTCCTAGAAACCAACAGCTAACTCCAAAATCTACCCCTCCTTTCATTCCCTCCTGAGGTGTAGCACAGCCTTAAAGTTAGACCTAGATTCAAATTCTGCCTCTGCCACTTAACTCTGGACCTTGGATAAGTTTCTTTATTATAGGAAAACCTAATTGTCTCATCTGTAGTGTCTTGAATGCTCTGAAAGGGTCCATTGAGACACTTTATCTGACAGGGCACTTGCTGATTAGTCACTGACACTGGCAGCTATTGTAACAACCCCCTTTCTGATTAGATGCTTGCCCCTTTTCACAGCATATTGTTTACTAATCTTTTTTCTTTAGTCTGTCCCATAACCCTTTCCTATTACCATGTGCTCTGTTGACTCTTAAAGTTCTTCATTGGTTGTTTTGCCTTTAGTTTTATCCCGAGTCTCTGGTTTACCAGCAGTACCACCTCCCCCATTTCCTAATATCTCTGGAACATTTTCAAAGAAACCAACTCAAGATAGGAAAGAAGTGAAACTATAGCACTGGAAGCAGGGTTGGGAGTCTGAAGTCCTCAATGCTTGTCCTGCATCCATGTGGCAATCAGAAGCTCATTACCCTGCGACCTTGTTGGTGCTGGGGCGATATTTCTGGAAATGCAAATTTTACTCTCCTATGCTAAGAACTCTGGCTTTCTAGTATGGAAGGCAGTATTCTCTAAGGAGACACTTTGTCACGGTGTCACTGTTATCAACTTGGTGATACTATGGAGAATTGGTTCTGGGGCTCAAATGTAGATAGTGCAATGTAAGAGACCATTCTGCACCACTAGAAAACTTTTCACCCTAAAGGCCAGTGGTGCTTTTGCTGAGACATTGGTGGGGAAAGACATACTTCCTGTGGGGGCCATTCTTTTGCTCTGGCTTCTTCTTGTGTTCCAAGTACCTGCCAGGCTGCCCTATCAATCAGCTGGCAATTGCTTATCACTATCTCCTAATTCCTGACTCTGCTCTTTTCTGCCTAGGCATAGACCTTTTCCTCTGCCAGTAATGCTCTTCTTTCTACCTAACACTCCTCTAAGAGTCATCTTGGTGATGTCTCCTGGTTTTCTCAGGTGGACTTAGACTAGATCCTTCTTCTGTGTGTCTAGCTATCTCCCATGACTAAAGCCTTCAAAGGTGGGAGTGGTGACTTTTCATCTGTGTATTCTCAGAGGCACTGGTACATATAAATTTAACATCTGAAATTGCTGAGAAAATCATGATGCTTATTGAAGACACTGTGAGCCACTTATCATGGTGAAAACCCTGTAGATTAGGGAAGGAGACTGAGAACAGGTTCTTGAAATGTGTGAACATAGCGTCCTTAAGCCCTTCTGTTAGGCTTAGGGTTTTTCTCATCCTGTCCCTCTGATGTCTCCCTTCTTCCACATCCATCTCCACCCAGTACACATGCTTCTCCCTTGGCTTGGTGAGGAGGTGCAGCCTTATCACTGAAATGGAAGGTGTGTATGTCTGAGATTTGTCTTTTTCAGAGCAGTGCAACCCTGAAACTCGTCCCATTAAGAATAAAAGATCAGCTGCTCCTGTGAAAACTACACAGCCTAAGGAAAACAAAGGTGTGTTGTTTGGATGATTGATTTCAAACAAACCTAGAGGAGTTTTCAGACAACTAATGGAAAGAAATGAATCTAAGACATGGGCTGCAGAATGGCTTTGTTAGGGAGCAGCAGTCTTCTCATCCCTGACCCCAAGAGTGGGTCATGAGTTGTCATGGGTGGTGAGAGAGCAGCCTGACACTTCCTTCATGGGAGGAAACCCAGGAGCAGGAAGCAGTGGGGAGAAAGGCCATGACTGTGGTGTAGGAATGTGAGGTGGGTTCTGCTGGTAGAGGCCTTTTCTGGTCACAGCTTTGGGTTTCCCTGCCTGAGCCTGACTAGCTGTCAGTTAACCTGAGCTAGGCTGAGGCAGGAGGTTTCCTTTGTTTTGGGTCACTTCACTGCTGCTGGGGACTCCTTCTGCTGGGGTAATGGGCTGTCATTCCATCTATCCTATCCATCCATGTAGAATTTCCTTCGTATGTCCTGGGTTATGCATTATTCCAGGCCTCTGGTTCCACTAAAGAGGTATTGAAGATCATAGGGATGGGCCATCTCTGCCCTTTGGGAAACTTCTAGTTGGGTTTAGGAAGGGCCAGTAATTTCTGCCTACGTGGAAGCTCAGGGACTTATGTTTGGCATGTTTTTACACATCAGCTAGTTCACTGGCCCATGGAGGTGGGGTGTTAAGAATTAAAATACCATGTTCCAAGCTCAAAGACCAGAGGGAAACATAGTTTAAGTGCTAGGATGCATTTAAGTAAAACCACCATTTTTTCTTTCACCTGCTTTTCCTTTTTTATACAAGAGTAGTATAATTGTGAATTCCAGAGATATTTTTATTTTTAACTACTTGTATACCCCATCACTGTTGGGTATGCACTTTTTTTTTTCCTTCGGGAGTACGTGTTAACATCCGATGCACTGGCTTTGACTGTTAAACAGATTATGCTGTGTGTTTCTTAGATGATGACTCCTCTATAGCCGATTTTCTTGATAGTGATGAGGAAGAAGACAGAGTTTCTTTACAAAATTTGAAGAATTTAGGTAAGTCTGTTCTGTATTTATTTCCTTGTTAACCACTGAGATAATTTTATTGTATAGAATTTGTTTTTGGTGGTGCTGGGGATCAAGTCCAGGGCTTCTGCATGCAAGGCAAGCACCCTCCCAACTGAGCTGTATCCCTAACCATCTACCCACCTTTTTAAAAACGCATTGGAGATCAAACTCAGGGACTCACTCATGCAGATAGGCACTCTATCACTGTGCTACACCTCCTGCCCTAATTTCCTTATTATTTTTTGAAATATGACTTAAGCTATTAAAAATGGTGTGGCATACAGGGCCTTTCCTTTCCAGCTGTACAGTTCTGTAAACCTGAATGATTTCACATCTCCTGGCCTGGCCACAATGCCCATTGTTTCTTTTGTCTAGAATCTGGATATTGCAGGTTGGCAAAATTCTGTCCTTCCTTCAAAGTACAGTTTAAGTTTCCTTGGCTCAACTAAGCTTTTCTTGACCCATGTCTCTCAGAATTAGGCACTTGTCTTTGCATATTGCCTTGAACTTATCAGTTAATGTACCACTCATATTTTATGGTATTTTGTCTTATACATCAATTTGTAGGGTAGGGACCAGTATTTCCCTTATCTCCTGTGGTGGATTTATAGTCCATTCCTTAGTGCAGGCTAGTATCACAAGATTAAAATTTTCAGGGGGGAAACAGATGTTAATAATGTACATTTTGGGGGGCTGGAGATACAGCTCAGCAGTAGAACACTTGTCTAGCATGTGTGAGGCCCTGTGTTGATCAGGACTATACACACGCAAAAAGTGTGTAAAAATAGCACATTTTTTTTTGTAGTACTTCTTAGTCTACTATTTGTATGAGTTCTATGTATAATTAATTTCATTCTTTCCAGCCAGTCAGGCTAATGGGTTGGTCTTAGCACTTGATACCACTGTAGTGATGAGACAGTTGTAGGGCAGGGTTTGGTTTCAGCAGAAATCATCTCTAGGATACTAACACAATATAAGTATACATCTCTAGATTACCTAATACAATGTAAATGCTGGGTAAACAGTTGTTATGCCAAATTATGTATAGGCAAAATTTTGTAACTGAAAAATTTTAACATTTTCAACCTGATTAGTTATATCCATGGTTGAGAGACCCATGGAGTTGGGGGTATGACATAATGGTTTATAGGGATGCAAGAGTTTATTACATTTAAAACATTAAGCTTTTAGCCATCTGTACATGTTCCTACTTGAACTTAGGCTTTTTTGTTGTTCTTTTTTAAAGGAGAATCTGCAACATTAAAAAACTTATTGCTCAATCCACACCTTAGACAGTTGATGATCAACCTCGATCAGGGTGACAACAAAGCAAAGCTCATGAGAGCCTATATGCAGGAGCCCTTGTTTGTGGAGTTTGCGGACTGCTGTTTAAGGATCGTGGAACCACCACAGAATGAGGATTCTTAAAATGCATTATTGTACTCTTTGGTCAAGCACATGCCTGACTCCCAGAACTATCTAGTCTTTGCAGGGGGGTGGGTCAGGAAGCAGCTAACATTGTTGGCCTCCAAACATGGAAGGTGGCTTCCCAGATGCAAGCTGACTGCTGAGGTTGTGCAGGTATCTGTTTCTTAACAGGTGTGTATGTTTCAGGCCATGGGGAGTACTCAGTGTACAAATCCTTTATGAAGAGAGCTTGACATTCATAGAGTTGTTTTCAAATGTTTTATTTTTGGTACATAACTTATTGGTCATGTTTCATACTTATTTCAGTTGAAAACTGATCAGTGTTACTAAGTAAAATCAAGATATGGTGGGTTCTCTTGTACATTGCATTGTTCATTGTCCTTGGTCCCTGATTTGATTGTTTGAAATTAAATAAGTCAACAACTTATTAAATAAGGTTTTGTTCCTTTGAGGAACTAAATGCAGTTTTTCCCAGCCAAAGTTCTAAAGCTCATGTTTGCCTGTTTTCTAAAGTGCTTGTGGGTGAATGGGTGCCCCACTGTAGTGACAGATCAAACTCTAAAACAGCCTCATCTGCTACTGAGTTTGATCCATGAAGTAGTGAGTGAAATGGTAAGTTCTCTGTGGCCTGAATCCTGGCTTAATCACTAGCAACTCTCACACCTCTTAGTGCTTGGGCTACAGGCCTGGGCCTTGCAGCCTGTAGTTGTTTCACGTGCATACGTTTACAATTGCTGTGGGATAGTTTGGCAGTTGTGTGATTAAATGTCTTTGGCAAGGCATCTGGCAGGAAAAGGCCTCATGGAAACAAAGGCACTACAGATCACTCAGCCAGGTAAGAGCAGAGGGTGAGAAGAGGTCACACATGGATTGGCCTGTGTTTTTCTAGCAGAATCTGATTAAAGCCAGTAACACTAGAGGGTGAAGGTTCAGGGCAGGTGTCGGCGTAGCGCAGTGGAGACTTTCTGCAGTGAAACCTTATCGAGCCCTGGGGAGAAAGAGAGTTAGCTTAGCCCCAGCTCCCAGGAATGCCAGGTCTTAAAGGTACTTCACAGAGCCAATGTTAGAAATGTGAGGTGTGGACAAGTACTGGTCTGAGGGCCATACCAGTGGCAGGACTTCGTTAATGTATTTTTTTAGAATCCTGAAATTGAATCCAATATCATATTTCACAACCATTCAGTATGAGACAGATGAGGAAACCCTAGGAAGGGGTAGAAGTTATCACTTGTCACATTCCTATGACTGCTTCCAGCTGGAAGATCAAAACATTTACATTTCTGTTTACATTTATGCTGGCCTGTGAGTTTTCATGGGAGTGAGACTCAGGCACTCAACCAGTGAGCCACATCCCCAGCCCTTTCTTGTATTTTATTTAGAGATGGAGTCTCACTGATTTATTTAGTGCCTCTCTTGCTGAGGCTGGCCTCCCGAGCCACTGGGATTATAGGCATGTGCCACCATGCCCAGCTTCATGGGAGATTTTATTCAGATTATGGCCTATAGTAATTCCTCTGCTTTGGAAATTGACAAAGCAGAAGGAAGGAAACAATTTTGTTTGCTCCTTGCTGTGGCCCATGCAACACACCGAGTGTTAGCCATTTATAGATGAAGAAATGAAGGCTCTCAGCTTCACCCAGGTCATCTAGTGAAAGGGACAGAGCCAAGACCCAGATCCTGAGGTTCTGCTGAGTGCTAACACACCTATCAACTTTCCTTAGCTGATTTATGAGGATAGGCTTTCTAGGGTGAACTAAAAAGCTGTGTGTGACATGGGCTTCCTGAATGCTGGCTCACTCTCTACCTGCTCATATTATAAAAGCAGAGGACTTGGACCATTGATACCTGTTTCTCATGTCCTCAGCTGGAAAAGGAGAGATGAACCAAGTAATGAGGAAAACATGGTGCCAAATCCAGTGTTTTGTGAAGTGACAAGTCATTCTCACTTGGGATTATGTAAAAGGAAGGACATTCAAGCTCTGTATGGTGGCACATGCCTATAGTCCCAATGACTTGGGAAGTTGAGGCAGGAGAATCAAAATTTCAAGGCTAACCTGGGCAACTTAGTAAGACCCTGTTTCAAAAATTGAAAAAGGCTGGGGGTATGTAGCTTAGTGGTAGAGGACTTGGCCTAGCAGTAGCAAGGTCCTGAATTCAATTTCTAGTACCATAGGGGGTGGGGACTAGAAGGTTCTGGAAGATGCAGTCCCAGTTTCAATAATGGAAATAATCAGAACTTGCAGCTGGTTGGGAAGCTCAGGCTTCGGGTTTACCCAGTAGGGTTTGGGAAGGGTCTCCTCCCAGCCTTAGTCTCCCTGCATTTCCTAGACAGGTGTGAGGAGCTGGATCTGTGGTAGGTTAGGACTGCTATCCCATCACACATCTTACCTGAGGTAGTGCTCGGATGGACCTGACACCAGCCTGGTCTTGTTGTGCTGTCTGGACACTGGAGCTCCTGGAGCTGCTTAAGGGAAGCTGGAGGCAGGCATGGACTACCAGTTTTCTCTGAAAGCCGCGTATACCCACAGCTGCATTGGCCAGGACTAGTCCTAGAGGCCAAAGCCGGATTATTGCCCCTAGAAGCCTGGTCTGCATTGGGGGCAGTGGAGAGGAGTTCGGGGAACCATGAGCTTGGGAAAAGTGTTTTTCTTCCAAACCATCCAGTTCTTTAGAAGCAAGGAAGGCCATTCTGATCTTAAAAAGAAAAAAAAAAAATCTTTTTTTAAACTTTAGATTTCTCTAGTCCTTTTTTTTTTTTTTTTTGGAGGGGGGGGGTTCCAAGGATTAAACCCAGGGGTGCTTAACCACTGACCCTAACCCTCTTTATACTTTATTTTGAGACAGGGTCTTGCTAAGTTGCTGAGGCTGGCTTTGAACTTGGGATCCTCCTGCCTCAGCCTACTGAGCCACTGGGATTACAGGCATGCACCACCACGGCTGGCTTTCTAGTTCTTTTAATGGAAAATAGAAACCAAACTATTTTTAATAAATCAGTTTAACAAGATGAATTGAAGGTACCTGATGTGAATAGCTGGATGCCAAGAAATAGAAGGGATCCATATGGCAGAAAATAAGGCAGTTGCACAAGCAACAGCCTTTCTGATAGGCCATAGAAGTTATGCATTTAAAGTACACAAATCCATGGTTTAGTATATTCCAGGAGTTAAACTCATGCCACTGTTTATTATCACTCACTACCACCACAGGAGGAGCTGCCCCTGCCTGTCTTGTACAGGAGGAACACAAGGCTGAGAGGCTGAACATCCTGCCCGACACTGCCCCCCACCCCCATTCCCACCCACTTGGGTCTGTCTGGTGCCAGAATCTGTGAGCTGCCCACCCTGACTTCTTAAGTCGTACTCACTCTCCACTTCTGCCATGCGTGCTTGATGACTGTGGCTGCTATGTGCAGCCTCTGGATGTATTTCCGAGTTAACCAGGAACGAACGGCTAAGAGGTTTGCCCAGAAAGAGCAAAGAGTTAACAATGGTCATTAGAGCACCTGGCAACCTGGCTGTGCCAAAACATCAGAAATGTGTTTTATCTAAAGTATTGGTTACCATGTACTATTATATAAAGTTCTAAAGTCAACACATGAAGCAAAATGGGGCTTGTTTTTCCCTGCTAGTACTGGGAATTAAACTCAGGGGTACTTTACTACTGAGCTGTATCCCCAGCCCCATTTTATTTTTATTAAAAAAAATTTTTTGTAGTTGTTGATGGACAGAATGCCTTTTTTACTTTTATGCGGTGGTGAGGATCAAACCCAGCGCCTCACATTTGCTAGGCAAGTGCTCTGCCACTGAGCTATAGCCAGAGCCCTCAGCCCCCAGCCCAATTTTAAATGTTGAGACATGATCTTGCTAAATTGCCCAGCTGGTTTAGAGTTTCAATCCTCCTGTGTGGCTAGGATTATAGGCACATGCCACTGCACCTGGCTCAAGATGGGTTTTTAAAAACATTTCACATAATGGTGGAATGAGATGGACAAATATCATTACTTAGACTGCACATATGGTGTGATACTACATCATGTACAACCAGTGAAATGAAAAGCTGTGTTGCAGTCGTGTACAATGAATCAAAATACATTCTGCTGTCATATAAACTTAATTAAAATAAATTAATTTGAATTAAAAAAAAAAAACACTACACTCAGAGCCTACACACTTGAGTGATACCTGGGAGGCTTTGTCTGGCCAGGCCCAGAAGGATCACCTCCATCTCATACTCAATCCTTGGCAATGCCAGGAATGAGAGGGGTTTGGATCATTTGTACTTCCCTGGGTTCCATCCCTGGTGCTGCACACAGGAAAAAAAGTCTCTTAAAAAAAAAAAATGGTACTACATGCCTGTAATCCTAGTGATTTGGGAGGTTGAGGCAGAAATGTGTGAGGCCAACCTTGGCAATTTAGACTGTCTCAAAACAAAAAAATAAAAATGGATGGGGATATAGCTCAGTAATAAACTGCCCCAGGTTCAATCAATATTTACTTATTTATACTAAATAAATGGATAAATAAAATAAAGTCCTCAAATTTTCTTGCTTGCTTTGAGTGTATGATACAACATCATCATATGCCCAAATGCTGATAAAATTAATTACTGGCTGGTGGGAATTTCTATTTCCTCCTCTTAAGGTTTCAGCATATTCTAATTTCTTCTGGTATGATTATATAGAGAACAAAGGATACTCCATTAAATAGCATTAAAAAACTTTAAAGACAAATACAAAAACCACCTGTTATCTCCCCAATCCAGAGAGTTCTACAGTATTTATTTACCTTTACAGTTCTTTTTATGCCTCTACACATAAACACACCTTACAAGGGTGGGATCATCCTTAATCTATAGTTTAATATCCAGGAAGTGGTGTTCCAGTAAGTGTATAATAGTCCTCAAAAATATTTAACTGTGTCATAGGGATGATCCATAATTTAGCCATGATTACACCCCTGTTAGCCATTTGGGCTATTTCTACCATTTTTTCAAAATAAGCCTGGTATGAATCTTTTCCTTTGATGAATCAAATGCTGTCACTTTTACCTTCTTCCAAGCCCTGCAGCCTAGCAGGTATTGATTTATGAAAAAGGAATGAAAAACACAGTGGCATAAACAGCTATGTTGGTCTGAGAAAAGGGAACTGAAGGCAAACGTTTAGCCTAGGTAGGAACGATTTGGTTTCCATTAACCTGCGGACTCTGGGCGAGGTGCACAGGGGGTTCAAATCCTAGGGCACCCAGGGTTTTGCCATCCACCTACCTGCCTGAATGAGGGTGGCAGCTCGCCTCTGCCTCTTCTGCTTTCTACGCTGGTGTTGTCTCCAGCCACACTGGATGCAGCGGGCACACTGCTCCAGTACCTGCGTACGTCCGTTTTCCAGAAGCTCTAGCTGGAAGGAGTTACGTCCACTGAGGTCCTCAGCCTCTCCTCCCACTGTCCCCAGGAGGGCCCAGACTGCCCTGCTGTGGACAGCCCGAAGCTGGCAGGCATAATCTCATCCCTCAGCCAGCTTACCATGAAGTCAGTCATGAACACCTTGGTCCTGCCACACTGCAGTGGAGCTGGTGTGCACTCAGCTGAATCAACAGGTGTGGCTGCTGTCCCAGTTAGTGCTGGCAGAATGTGGAGAATGTCCTGGAGGAGAGTCTGCAGTGTGGCCGCCTCACCCTGTGGTGGCTGTTCTGGGGGATGGAATAGAGACTCCATCAGTGCATGGTCCTCTCCGCATGCTTTGGTAGTCCTAAAAAACTGGCTTTGGTCTCTTCAGCATCTTCCAAGCCTCTTTCCTGCTCTTCTTACCTCCAGCCTTTCCTCCCTCCTCCCATTTTTTAGGGGAGACCAGAAGCAGTGGCTCTGTTGTCTCAGGGACCTGCTATTCTGAGGAGTCTTGGAGTCCCCACTGTGGCTATGCCCTAGAGTATCCTGCAGCCTCCATGGCCTCAGGTCTCTTTGGACAGGCTAGCAAAGGGGGTGATGCCAGTAGAGCAACTCCTTCCAACCTGGCACCCCAGGCCACTCAGCCTGCATTTATTTACGTGGTCCCAACATCCTGAGAGGCAGAAAGGGCAGCTGGGCCACTACTGCAGCTCCTGACCCCTTACTGCTTGCCATTTATGGAAAAAGATAGAACAAATTCCAGTTCCACGAAGGCCCAACAGGTCCCACTGTTGCCCTCCCATGTCTTACGGGGCTAACTCCTGTGCAGGAGGATTTACCTGAGGGCTCTGAACACCTTTAGCTGCTCAGGGCCTCCCTGGAGACACAGGCTACCAAAGCAGATGCCAGCGATCAGAGACAGCCGCAAAATCAAACGGCCCACAGGGGCTTGGGCAAGAAACATGAAACAGGAGAGCTAACCAGACAGAGGAGTAAGAAATGAGAGAGTGAAAAGAAAGTGATGAAACTGCCCAAGAGGGGAGAAAAACAAAGCAGAAATGTCTTATGAAGTCCCATGGGCACTAGGGTAGTGCTGGGTGGGTGGGGGAATAGCTGTGGCTGGGGACCTTGTGTCCCATTCCTGGCCTCCTTATTCCTGCAGCCTTGGTTCTGTCTACATGCCAACTACCTACAATCAGCCATGGGCCAGACTTCCCCTGAGGTTAAAGCTTGCCCAAGTGCCTTCTGACAACTCCTGGGACCTGGAGCTCGTCAGTCTTGGAGGGCTTTTGAGCTTCCCCAGACCTCTCTGGCTCTTCCTGTCTGTATACTGGTCAACCCCTACCAAGGCTGACCAGTTTCTTCCACACATCTCCCACCTCTCTGGCTTCTCTCCCTTTGGCAGCTTTGCAGCCTCACTCCCAAAACCTCCACAAGGCCCCCCCGGCTGATGGAGCTGCTGGCTTTTTTCCCTGCAGTGCCACCTCTTCTGTCCAGAGAATATAAAGTCTAGGTTCCCTGAGTAGATCACCTGTCACCACTGTCCTGATGAGCCAGCAAAACTGCAATGGCCTGGAGTTCCTCACACCCACACTGCTGTCTCACGCCTCTGTTCAGATTAGCCTATTCACCTGGCTACCCAACTTACCCTCACCTACCACCTGCTTTAGGAAGCTTTCCCCAGTCCACACCTGCCCAGCACTTCCCCCAGCATCCTGCTCACAGCTCTGCCTTCCCGAATTCCACAGCTGTCTTTGAGTTTGTTCCCTTCATTGAACGAGGAGCCATAAGGGCAGGGCTATGTTGTATTCAGTGACCTGTGTTTGAACAAAGGGCCCCCACTCACCAGAGTGCTCTTTGGCAGAGTATGGGTTATGGAAACTTGAGGATGCTCGAGGACAGAGCCTTCTCAGTAACTCATATCGTTCCATAAAGTTCTGATGAGAGACCCTGCAAGCCAGAGCAAGTGAAAGAGAATGAGTTCATCCGTGAGCCAGGTATATCACTCAGGGCTCAGTTCCTTCAGCATCTCTCAATTCCTGACCCTTCACTTCTCATAGGCCTGAGCTGCATAGAAGGGCCCTTCCCCGTTGGGTTATCTAATTAGCATTTTTCTGTTTTTTTCCTAGCACCAGTTGCACTTATTTTTCCTGACTCTATAGGAATGTATACCACAAGAGGGAGAGACTCACCTTCCTTATTCACTGATACATTACCAAAAACAATGCTGGTAATTTTTATTGTTCAAAACAGTGTACAGTAAATGAATGGATAAATTAACAAGTGCTGCCCCTTGAGTTCCAGGTGGACTTCTATAGACCCGCCTCTTTTTCTTCATCTCTACCTCCAGCTCTGTCTTGGGCAGGCTCCTGTCTGGGCCAAGTCCTGTAATTCACCCCAGCAATGCCCTGTTCCCTGTGGTGGTATGACTCACTCACCGAATGGGGAAGCCAGCAGCACTGATATGAATGGTCTCTACAAGGCCACAGGCCTCCAGTTGGCTCAGGACCTATAGGGTGGGAAGATAGGGTAGGCACTTGTGGGACCAGAAATGCCATTCCTTCTGGCTTTTTCTTGGGCCCTAGCCTGTGTGGTGCTGGAGGCTCTCCTGAGCCTTGGCTGATGAGGGGTATCTCCTTGGGGTGGAAAATCAAGGAACCCTGAAAAAATTTCCTCTGTAGAAAGAGGGCCCTGGTAGTTCCAAGTCTCCCCAGATGCCCGAGTTTTGATACAGTTGAGGGCTTTGATGGTCCTGGCTGTATCTCATCCCTTCCTTTGGGGAAGACTCACTATCTAAGAATGCAGCCAATCAGATTTCTAGTTCTGATTGTTTTTGCAGGTAGCAGAGTGGTTCACAGCTGAGGGGCTGGGAGGTCATACTGTAAAGATTCTCCCACAGTCTGAATTCCAGTCTTTACCACACAGCCAAGTAGTCCTGGCTACCAACTCCAAGGCCACATCTACCAGATGACCCTGTGATCCTTTTTAACACTGTCTAGCACTCACACCTCATCCATAGCCCTCAGAGCCTGGTACCCTGAGCAAAAAGGGTAGCTGCTGGCCAAAGTGCTTTTGCTTAGATTAGACAAAAAAAAGTGACACTCCAGTCAGAAATAGCTACATTGTACATGGACTAAAATGACAGTTTCAACTAGTCACAAAAGACACCTATCAATCCTTCAATCCCTCCTCAAGGCACCTAACTTGATGAGCAGAGAGCAAGAGACACTGGAGTCCCTACTTGCCTCCTCGCCTAAGCCACTGCACAGTACATGCCACACAGCCACAATTGCACATGACTGCCCTGCCCCAGCAGAGAAGAGCAGCCCTCCTTAATGTCAGGCCCAGCCTGAGACTCCCAGAGACTCTGTTTGGAGATGTCTTGCCCTGCATCCTCCCAGGGCTTGCCAGATGGGGATCAGTGCAAAGCAGCTTTGGTCCAGTGTTTTTACCTCCTCTTGGAGGAAGCTCTGTGGCTGGCCCTGGCTGTTGGGCTTAATACAGCGAATGTAGTGGGGTGTGGTGTTCTGTAGGATCCGCAGGAGCTGCTCCAGGGAAGCCTGAAGATGGGAGAGTACATGGGTTAAACAGGGACTGGGGCTGCTCAGGGCCACAAGCCAAGCCCTGGTTAGTAACTGTAGCCAATGCCTCCAGCAGCCTTCTCAGCCTTGAGACCAAGATCCTCATGTGCCCTGGTGACAACTACCGGAGGATCTTACAGAATGGGGAAGACAGCAGCACTGATATGAATGGTTTCTACAAGGCCATTCCCAAAGCACACCCCCTTCGTACCTACTATTGCTCCTCACCCTTGTCTCTAAGTAACTTTTGGAACTATGACCTTCATCTGATCAGTTTGCCTGCATCTGATCTCAGCTTCCTCTCTTGCCCCATCTCCCCAGAGCAATCATCTGGAAGAGAACAGTTTCAACCTCTCCCCCTCCCCCCCACTCCCTCCGCTGCCATTCTTTCAGGCAACAGTTGCCATTATTAAGCTTGCCCTGTGTGTTGGAGGCTTGCAGGGACCAGGACCTAGGCAGTCTGCTGCTGTCTCAGAGCTTAGTCTCAGGGGCCACACACATATAGGACATCCTCTGTGGTGTCTGAAGCTGGGGTAGAAAAATGCTAATCTAACTGGGTACTACAGGGTGCCTCCTCAAGGAGGAGCTCTCTCCTCAATGACAGAGCAGAGGTTTGATGGATGAGTAGAAACTAACTAAGAAAATTTGTGTGGGAGCTGAAGGGCAGTGGTCAAGAGATCCCAGGTGTCAGGTGTGGTGGTGTATGCCTATAATCCCAGCAACTTGGGAAGTTGAGGCAGGTGGATTGCAAGCTCAAAGCCAGTCTCAGCAATTTAATGAGGCCCTAAACAACTTAGCAAGATCCCATCTCAAAATAGAAAGTAAAAAGGCTGGTATGTGGGTCAGTGGTTAAGCACCTTTGGGTTCAATCCCCAATACAAAAAAAAAAAAAAATCCCAGGAAGGTACATGCAAGGGCAATAGTAGAAAACTTTGACAATACTGAGAAAAATGACAAGCCGGTGCCTGCTGAGGACAGGTTTGAGCAGGACCCATTACTGTTCTCCTGTGAGCATCCTATCATCAGTGAGCAAGAGTCCTTCCACTCCCCCAAGATGTCATATCATTACATCTGATGGCCTGTGTGTCCTGTCTTTGTTTCTACCCTGAAGTATAAAGCCCATGGGAACAGAGACCACATCTGCTTGACAAGACTGGAGCAGATAGCTCCAGTCTTGGGAGGGGCTCAATAAACATTTGAGATTGTCATGTCAGAACCACCAGACCCACCTTGAACTTGGACACCACAGTCAATGCAGGGGTCCTGTTCTGGCCAGAGGGTTTTTCCTGGGTCTTCTCTTTGGGGTCAGTAGGAAACAACACAGTGAGTAAGGAGTGCTGGGATTGCTGCAAGAGCCCAGTCAGTTCAGGAGGGACGGGGTCCTATAGAAAAAGGGCAAGGGTTGCAGGTGAGAACAGGTGGACTGCTTCCTAGAGCTGTCCATATGCCCCCTGGATGCCCAAGCCGAGGCAGGGCTTCCGGGAGGGCAGGGCCTGAGTCCAGGCCAACCAAAGACCCAGACCCAGGCCAACAGGTCATTTCCAGGCAGGTCAGGCTGGATTTGCAGAGACCCAGATAGTGATCCTGGATTCAGGGTGGACATTTGAGAGAAAAAGGATGCCTAATGGGAAACCACATGCATGAAGCACAGTGTCCTGCTTCATGCACCATCTCTTCCAGACTCTGGTCCAGGCTGAGCTCACCTTGTTCTTCTCCACCAGGCCTGCTGTGTGGTACCGCACAGGCCCTGCAAAATGCACCACCACAAAACTGGGCTCCCGGCTGAGCTTATTGTGGCCCAAGCAGGGGCTGCCTGCCAAGGCACTCTCAATGCGTGTCTGGAGCTGGGCTGCACTGCTTGGCCGATTTAGGCGGCACTCCTGTGGGGTTGGGAGTGGGCAGTCAGTCACAAAAACAAGAGGGTTTCATAACCCTCATAGTCCCCACTGTCCGCTTCCATGGCAGCAGGGTCGTCACACAGGAATTATAGTGACCCCAAGAGGGAGAATAATGGAATCAGCAAACCCATTTGGCAGATGGGGAGATAGAGAGCACAGAACAGTTAAAACCACGGAAAAGCCCAAAGACCAATTCTAGTGCTCAGTTCTAGTGGACCCTCTCCACCTCGTTTATGAGGGAGCAGATGCTGATAGGGCTTCCCTCGATGAGATCCAAGCAGGTCTGGTTGTCCTGGTAATTGACAAATGACCACTCCAGGCCTTCCATTGCGTATTCCTCCTAGGGGACAGACGGGTTGTACGATAGAAGAAGGCCTCCCACAGTTGGCCTTGGTACCTCAGCATATTCCAAAATAGCACCAAAGAAGGAACATGAGTCTATCAAAACATTACATTGGCCTGGGAGTGTATTTCAGTGCTATAGCACTTGCCTAACACGCATGAGCTCCTGGGTTCCAAAAACAAAACCCACCACATCGTACATCATATATATAACTATTACTTGTCAAAAACAAAATGAGGAATAAAAGGCTCCCAGTCAGAGCTGGGCTGGGTTGAAGGACCAGGTGACGTGAAGGACCCAGAAGAAGTACCGCCCACCTTGCCCTGCCACACCTGCTGAGCCCTGAGGTAGTGAGCCACAAAGTGTTGCTGTAGCTTCTCATTGGCATAGTTGATGCACAACTGTTCCAGACTGTTGTCAGGAAATGACTCAAATCCATACACATCCAGCAGACCTGGGAGGAGGGAACTCATGCGGTCACTGCAGGAGTAGTGGGATTCCAAGACCCCAAGGTGATTGGGTCCTTGATAAAGTCTCATACTTGGTAGCCTGGGGACGAGGTAAGTGAGCCTGACACCTTCTTGGTGAGCTGAGAACACCACTTTTACTCTCTGTACCCAAACCCGGGTGGTCCCACCTCTACTCCATGTGCTCTCAGAGCAGGCAGAAGAGCCAAGTGAAATATGAGGGGCAGTAGAGGGCATCAGGCCCATTTTTGAGTCTGAATACTCTGGTTCTGAAAGGCACCTTCTGTGAGGAAACCAGGTACCAGGGAACATTTTCAGTGTCGAATCTAATTCAGAAGGCCTCAGTCTCACCAACCTAGTTGGTGCCTAGAACACCACTATTCCACGAGCAAACTGCACTGGCACCTCTAGGCTTTACTTCCTCCATTCCCTGACTATCCATCCAGTGTTAGAATGATGTTGACCTGTCAGGTCCCCTGGTCTAGCTTTCATCCATCCCCCACTTCTCTTCTGGGATTAGAGCTGGGTGTCTGGAAGAAAAGGGGCCTGTACAGCCAAGACACCAACCAAGTCTGTCTGGAAAGACATGAATGGTTAGATGTGAGCATCAGTAAGTACAGATCTCACCCAAACGCTGGATGAATGGAAGAAGAGATGGGGGTACGGAGAAGGGATGGGCTGCTCAGAGCCTCACAGGGGACCCAAGCCTCTCTGTTCATGGCTCTACTGCTTTTTTCTGGAGGGTTCCTGTCAGGGTAAGCTGCTGCTACCTATGAAAGTGGTCCATGAGTCGGGGTCTGCATAGATGCTACTGTTGATCACCAACACCAGCCAGTCAAACAGCCTGTAGGGGAGAAGAGTTGGACTGTGATGAGGGGCTGAGGCTGAGCCTGGGGATGACAAAATTGCTCTTCCAGCTAGGGAGCCAACCCTCAGGGGGCCTTGTATTCTGAGCCCAATAGACCAAAGGCTAAAAATCATCTTCCTGCATATCCTGTCTTGACCTACTATAGAGACTCTGGACATGCATGTTCCTAGGTACACACAGACCTGGCCTGTCTTCCCAGTAGACAGAGCACAGGACAAGCTAGGTTCTAGGACAGATAGGGCACAAGTCTGCATCAGTCACATGTCTTGACACCAGTTGGTGTCATGACTAGAAGGGGCCATTGGGCAGGCTAAGGTGGGCTTCCTTAAGAACTGAGTTCATAGAATTCCAAGTCTACCTGCAGAGCCAAGAGCTCAACACCCTGCCACATCCTTCAGCTCAGTCCTGCACAAGCAGACCCTGAGCCACTTAAGGCCAACAATGGCATCCTCCTCTGGAACCATCACCAACCCAGAGAAGGTGAGGTTACTGTAGGAGGTGGTGGCATGTACAACACTGTTCAGGGTTTCTTCTTTACAGTTTTTCTTAAAAGTTGCTCTGCAACTTTTTCCCCCAATTCGGTAAACAGCTCCTCTTTTTACAACAGGGCTTTAAACACCCATTTGAGCTGCTAAAAATGAATGACCTGGTGTTGCAATGACTGATGGTTTCTATGTGTAAAATGTTCTATGGTTAGGAGCTCACTTTGTGACCTTCACATTTTAACTGCTCATTTTGCAATAAAGCAAAGGCTTTCAAAATCACTGACCTGAAATTCTCTAAGAGGCAGTGGTATCTGAGTCTCTTGTTGAAATGATTTTAGTCTAGGCCCAGCTACTGGGGACCATTTTCAATTCAGAGGATCTTTTCCCTCAGTAGTGTTTCTCAGAGCCTAAGGTGAGACCATCCTTGACCACATGGCCCGAGACTGGAGATGTTCACGTAACACACTGGGAAAGGCCAGGAGCCCACCTTCCCCAATGTGCTGCCCACATCTGTGGGCTGAGCCTCTGGCTCTACCACCATCGATCAAGCTCCCCAGATAAGTAACACAAGGTCTTAAGTGTCAGGGTCCAAGAAGAGAGTGGAACCTATCAACCCAACGTTCTAAACCTAGAACTGTGAAGATGCCAGTTCACCTCTGAGGCCCACTTTGCCAGCAGACAGCTAAGCAGGCTTTCCTTGCCTGTTGCCCATGACAAAGCAGGCTCCTGTAGCTGAATTGAGGTCAGGAATATGGTAAACTCTCCTTCAACACTCAGAAACAGAAGTCAAAGGCATAGTTCAAGAAAAAACATGGGAGGCATTCCCTGCTAAAAAAACAGTCTGCTTTATCTGACACCCCCACCCTGTGCCTGCATCTACTGCCTGATCACCAGTGTCTGGTCCAACATTTGTAACTGCTCACCGTGCATAGACCAGTTTGGCCAGACAGTCTCTGCGGGTGTCACACTCAGCTCGGGAGCAGGCCTTCCGGAACACCTGCTGCTGCCTGCCTGCCCTGATGGTTCTAATCCGCAATGTCTCCAGCAGCATGTTCTCTGGGAGCTGCAGTAACGAGGCTGATGTCCTGACAGAGCCTGGGAGAGGCAAATCCTCCTTAGGCAAACCACTCTTCAAACTATGAAGCACTGTGAAGTCCTCACAGTGGAACCATTACTCACCCAACTGGACAGAGACCTAGGCTTTGACAGGCAAAGAGACTTGCCAAAGGCCTCCATAAGTGGTAGAAACAGGACATGAACCCAGGACTTCTATATCCCCACCCACAATGCCATCTGTGGAACAATGACTTTATTTAGACCCTTTTACTCTCATTTTCTCATCTGTAAGATGGATATGATAATGTCCACCTCCCCAGAGATCGGGTGAGGAGTAGATTATAGCAGACAGTTTCCATCCTCTAGTTTCCCTCCTAACCCCCAATGTTGTAGTTTCTAGCCAGGGCCCACCCTACTTTCCTGTTCCCTCGCCCCTCACACTTGGCCTCTTCCGTCAGTTGGCAGGGCTGGGCTTCATCCTCTGAGTCTGCAAATTGGACATTGCCAAGGTGTAGCAGTCCAGCTAGGACCTGAGGGGGCAAAAAGGTATGGTCAGAAACAGGAGAGGACTGAAGTGAGCCCTCCTTCTGAATATAATCAGGACAAGACTGAAGAATAGTTCTCGACTACATCCAACCATGAGCTGTACAAGGTATATGCATCACCTCCATTTTTCCAGTGCCCTAGAAGGCACGGGCTATGATGATGCATGTGCTGGAGATGGGAGAGGTAGACTGGGAGAGGCTGACTCCTAAGCCCGGGGATACTCTCTGAGGGAGAAAGGCAGGATTAGAACCCCGGGGGGGGGGGTCTGTCTTCAGATGCCTCACAGAGCAGCCAGTGGGCCCCCATGTGTACCAACCACCTGTCCCTCTGTCCTCCACTCTCTAGACCACACTGTGTGGGAAAACTGATCTTGTCAGTTATAGGCCAGGGTTACTTCTGTGTCTGCTGGGGGCTTGGCTCTGGCTTCCTGGGGCCCTTTCTCAGCCCTGTTGGGTTTAGGATTCCCATCCTGGAAAGTAGCTGAGATCTCGGTCTCCATACAGTGTGTGCCACTCTTCTGCCTTTGAACACAAATGCATGGACAAACCCACAGGAGCTATGGAAAGGAAAAACCCCTCCAGGCCCAGCAACTTTAAAACCCTTGGACTAGAAGAAAAGGGCCCTTTCTGCCGTTCCTAGGCAAGTTACCTCCTTTTACTACTGGCCCTCTGGCCACAACCTACCCAGGTGAGAACTGTTATGCCCAGTGGGCAGTACGGCTGTGGTAGAGGGTGATATGATACACCCCCAAACCAGCAGCACTCCTGCCTGGACTCCTAGTGTTGTCCACTCCTGGTCTTGTCCCCATATGATGTCCTTCTCTCCAGCCTCTTACCTGGCAGTGTCCATACTGGGTATAATACCTTCCCTGTCTGAGCAGCCCCCATCTGAAGGTAGTCAATTTCCATTGCATTGTCATCTCCCTGAAGTAGCTTTTCTGTTCCTGCTGTCCCCCTATCCTATTTAGCCTGTCCTCTTGCTTTGGGGGCTGAGGATGTGAGGGGGAGGGAGGCAGTCAGTCTTGTCAGCAAAGGTGAATGTAGGAGGAAGCCACTGTGGGGATACGCACATGACCAAGAGGGAGGGGCAGCAGATGGGAGTGGAGAGAGGAGAGGAAAAGAAAGGCTGGACTTTGGAATTACTATGTCTGATAAATTTATGACAGGTAGGGCATGCCTATAATCCCAGTAGCTCAGAAGGCTGAGGCAGGAAGATCGCAAGTTCATAACCAGCCTCAGCAAAAGCGCAGTGCTAAGCAACTAGGTGAGACCCTGTCTCTAAATAAAATACAAAATAGGACTGGGGATGTGGCTCATTGGTTGAGTGCCCCCCGAGTTCAATCCCCAGTACAAAAAACAACAAAAAAACAAATTTACTCTATTACAGAGTGATATTGATGTTTTAGGTACGTCATTTTACCTCTCTGGTTTTCTTAAGAGTAAAATGAAAATAATCTCCACACACAAGGCACTGTTGAAAAAAAACAAGTGAGCTAAGAGGTATGATTATGATTTTTAAGTTTTAAATTGTTTAGAGAAATATTTGTTCGGCTTATTTGTCTTTTCTCATAACTGCAGTAATAACTGACCCAAGCCATCTTAGGTCACATAGGTCACTGTACTATGTTCTGTACTCTAGCACTATGTACTATATCCTGTCCTCTATGGCTATCTAGCCCCACTACTCATCTCCACGGAGAGGTGACCGACTGGCTCCTTGGAGACTGTGTGGTAGGGCCCAAAGCCCTAGATGTTCAGGGAAAGGCAAGAGTTTCAAGTTGAGGGAAGGATGTTACAGAAGGGGCTGCCTGGCACCTTTGCCAATATGAGCAGCATGGCTCTCTTCTGACCTTAAAGATGTTGTTCTGGGTGGGGGTATCGATGCCCAAATGGAGCATGGCCTCTCTGGTCACCTCAAAACAATCCTCTGAAAAAAAAAACCCAGTGGTGAGCAGGAGCAGCAGGAGGGCAAGGGAAGCAGACCCTGTGCAGAGTGGGCATGTGCTGTTGGGCTAATCCAGGGTGTGGAGTGAAGCTCCACTTACCTTCCAAAATTCTCTCTGGGTTGGGCAGCCAGGAGAAGGTAGATCCCTTGGGGAGGTGCCACTGGACCCTCTCCTCCTCACTGGCTCCTTTGCATATCTGTGGAAGGGTGGGTAGGTGAACTGGGAGTGCAAGGGTAGCCCAGGCTCCACAGGCCTGGGGTTGGGATGATAGGAGAAATGGATATAATGTCACAAAACTGAGAGAGCCCAGGGTAGGAATGGGAACAAAAGAAGAAGCAAATGCCATCCTGGGTATCTCCCATCTGATGCATACACACACAAAAAATCCCGCTCTGGGAAAGCCTTTAGTCCAGTGAAGAACTACAGCTCCTGTCTGGTGAACCCCTATCTTGATTGGAGTGGTACTTCTCTACCTAAGGATGCTCCCTTTCTTAAAACAAAGAGACTTCCAATCCATACCTTGGGGATGCCCAGTCTAGTAAAGGGGCACAAGTCTAGGGAAGCCTCATTCTAGTAAAGGACACCATTCCCTAAAAACAGAATACCAGCCTCGAAGTCTTCTAGTCTGACAAAGAGGCAGAACATACTCTTCAGCCAAAACTGTGCTGGAAGCCCAGGTCTCGTATGAAGCAGAAGTGTTCCATATTAGTTTATGGGAATAAGCTGGGCACAGTAGCACTTGCTTATAATCTTAGCTACTCAGGAGGATTGTAAGTTTGAGGCCAGCTTCAGCAACTAAGCAACACTGTCTCAAAAAAACCCAAAAAACAAAACAAAAGGGGTGGGCATGTAGTTCAGTATTAGGGTACCCCTGAGTTTAATCCCTAGTACATTAAAAAAAAAAAGAAAAGGAAAGAAAAAGAAAAAGTTGAGGAATAAGCAGCACTACTAAAATCAGATGAAGGAGCCAGGCATGGAAGACCTGGAGACAGACCCAGCCCTGCCCTACAGGTGGGCACTGTAGGTCCCTCTTGGCACAGACCTGATAGAAGATGTGGAAGTTCCTCTCACTGGAAGCCTGGCAGGCCACACGAGTTTTCTCTAGGAGGTAGGTCTGGACTGCAGCTCCTGTCATCTGCTGGGCCCTGGCACAAAAAGGTAGGAGCCCATTAGTTGTGTATTTATTCAATAGCCATCTATTTAGCACTTACCGTGTACCAGACTGCCACCTAGCAACTCCCTGCCAACCTATTCTTCTTAGTAGGCTGAGAACTACTCAGAATGTCCTTAGGTATTCTGGGGACTTCCCCTGCATCTAGCTTAGGTGGGCAGGGCCATGGCCTCTGTATATGGCTTTTGTCCCATCCCAAGGCATGAGCAGAAGCTGTAGCTTAAAGCTCAGGGTTATGGCCCAAAGAGGTAGCAATTTATTTAGAAGTCCCTGAGCAAGGGTACAAGCTGAGGAATACAAAGGCCATGTCAAGAACAATACTCCAGTTCCTAAGGTGAGAGCAGCTATGATTCTCAAGGTTCAAAGATCACTATAGAGTTCATTGATCCTAAATATTCTCATACACATACATGACAAATTCTGCCCAGAGAGGTGGCCAAGGCTGGTGACAGCCCCAGCAGTTTCCAAACCCTGGCCAGTCCTCTCACCCCCTCTCACCACCAGGGCCAAGGAGGCAGCAGTAATTACCTGTTCAGCTGGAGCTGGATGAACTTCCCAAAGCGACTGCTGTTGTCATTCCTCAGCGTACATGCATTCCCTATAAATAACACCTATGTTTGCATAACTCCTCTAGGTTTTAGAGTTCCCAAAGGGACAAAAGGATGGGCACGGCTGCCCATCCTCAAGTTACCTAAAAGCCCTTTAGTTGGTTTCTATATCATGGGGGACAGGACTAGGGAATGGGCACTCAGGCCTTGGCAAGCAAAATGCAGAAGAGTTAGAACTTCCTGGCAAGGAGGTGGAATGAGCAAGCCTACGCCATCAGGAACTTTTTTTGTTTGAAGGGAGGTCAAAAACAACACACTGTCATTATTGGCTTCAGACAGCAAGATATATCATCTGGGCTTCAGTCTCATCAAGGACACCAATAGCTATGCTTCCTTAGACAAATATCCTTTAAACCATCTGGAAACTGAATGGAAAGATAGGATTTGGACTAGATGAGTCACCAGGTCCTCTTCAACACTGTTACATGTGTCTAGGATGAAGGCAAGATGACCAAATGATATTCCCTTTATTAGAAGGAGGTTGGGGGGAACTGGGAGAAGGCTGGGGGTTCCAAGGCAGTGAAGAATACACTCATCCTCCAACCCCCAGAGAGGGTCTTAGAGCAGTGTTCCTCTTCATGCCAGGTGGCAAACCCTAGAGAGGAAATGGGACTGAAGTATAATACAGAGGTTGCTGAACTCACCAAAAGCTTCCATGACAGGGTTGGAATTCAGGATCCGCTGTTCGATCCTCTCGGCAATCTTATGGTTCTCCCAGGAAGTGGGTGAGGTAGCTACGACAGCATAGAATTTCATCAGGCAGCGGGACGTCCATGTCTGCAGGAAAAAACAGCCTCATGGGAGCTGTGTCCATGTTCTTTCCTATTACCAAGCCTGCCTGAGGAAGTGGTGTCCACCAGAATGCTCTTCTAAGAACCACCATGTGTGTTGCTGACCAAATGAATGACTACTGAATTTAGCTCTGGCCTTGGCAATGCACTATTATAATTTGAAATGGGAGGGTGCATCTCAGTTCCTCTCAGTTCCAGAGAATGCACTAAGAATGAGGGGACCTGGGCAGTGTCTCTGAGGCTTCACAGCTAATATCGATTACTCCATGGAGGCCCTGAACTACACAGGTTTTCTTCGCATTTTCTTACAAACCCTAAAGAGGCAGATATAATTATGCACATGTTTTTAAAATGATAAAACTGCAGAATTAAAAAAAATTAATTTATTAAAGATCAGTAAACGACAGAGCTCTGATTAAATGCAAGCAGCCCAAGTATAAAAATTCTTTAGTTTCAATCAGTTGAATGAGGTAAATTTTCACTTTAAATTTCCAATTATTTGTTGCTAGGACATAAAAATATAATTGATTTTTATATATTGACCTCATGTTCTATCATTTCACTAAACTCTCTATAATTTTTTAGCTGTAGTAGTGATTTTTGTTTTTTGTAAATTCTTTATATCTTTCTATGAGGCTGGAGATGTTCCCTCTTTTCTATTTTCTGAAAGACTTTGGGTAGATTTAGTAACATTTCTTCCTTAGATGTTTGGTGAATACAAGTAAAGTTGCCTGGGCCTGAAGCTTTCTTTGTAGAAAGTTGTTTTTTTTTTTTTTAACTGTGACTTAAATTTCTTTTAAAGATATGTGCTATTCAGGTTACATTATTTCTTCTTATGTGAGCTTTAGTAGTCAGGTGGGGGGGTCTTCAAGTAAATTTCTCCATTTTATGTTAAGTTGCATAATTTATTGGCATAAAACCAGTCATATTTTCTCTTATCAATCTAGGATCTATAGTGACAGAAAGAAAGAGAAGCTTTCTTTTTGGCACTGGGGATTAAACCCAGGGACACTGAGTCACATCCCCAGCCCTTTTTAGTGAGACAGGGTCTCATTAAATTGCTTAGGGCCTTGCTAAATGGCTGAGGCTGGCCTCAAATTTGTGATCCTCTTGCCTCAGTCTCCCAAATAGCTAGAATTATAGGCATGTACCACCATGCCTGGCTTAAAGCCCCCCCTACCTTTTTGTTTGATACTGGAGACTTAATCTAGGGTACTTTATCACTAAGCTACACCCTTGCCCTTTTTATATTTTGAGGCAGGATCTCACTAAGTTGCTCAGGGCCTTTCTAAATTGCTGAGAAGACTGGCTTTGAACTTGCTATCCTCCTGCCTCAGCCTCCCAAATTGCTAGGATTACAGGCAAGCGCTGGCATGCCAGTTTGGCTTAAGTACCTCTCTGATGTGCCCTTAACCATTATACTGGAATTCCCATCAGCTTACTTTATTTTCAGTATTGGCACAGAACTTCAAGAAGAAGGGGAAAGTATTTTACCCCAGGTGACAACAGAGCTAGTAGGAGAGCCTGCATTGGAACCTGTCTCTGGAATTCTGGCCCAATACTTACCCACTATGGTATACTGACTCTGTGTTGGCCAGCCTATCTGTGAATGACAGGGCAGCAAATGACTCCACAAGGAAAGACCACTGCCTCTCTACAGTTATGAGTTGACAAGGTAGAAAAGTGGTCCTCCTACCTTTCCAGCACCACTCTCTCCACTGACCACAATGGACTGGTTAACTGGCTCAATCAGGCTCTTGACATTCCTGTAGGTCTGTTCACCCACAGTGAAGATGTGGGGTTTCAGTTTCTGAAACATCAAAAAGGGAATGGTCATGTGAGAAAATTTCTGTTTTCAAGAAGTAGTTGAGCCAATGATGGCTGAGATGGGGAGGCTGCCAACAGAAATGCCAGGATACTTTCTCCAGAAAAACTTCCTGGATTTAACAGTGCTAAGTCCAACTGTGGAACTTCAGTCAGTGACATTGATACTTTATGTTCCCATCTTATTATTATTTTTTTTGGGGGGGTGGGTGGGTACTAGAGATTGAACTCAGGGACACTTGATCACTGAGCCACATCCCAGTCCTATTTTGTATTTTATTTAGAGATAGGGTCTCACCAAGTTGTTTAGCAACTCACTGTTGCTGAGGCTGGCTTTGAACTTATGATCTTCCTGCCTCAACCGCCCAAAGCTCCTGGGATTACAAGTGTGCACCACTTCACCCGGCCCTTATGTTGTTTTATTTGTCTTATTCTGTTGCTTATTATGTTATTGTACTTTGTAATCTTTGTAAAAAAAAAAAAAAAAAAACTTTCTTACAAGTTACTAAGAAATCTGTGCATAAGTAAGGTTGAATAGCTAACATTTTATAGATGTGGCATCTGAGGTTCAGAGGAATTAAATAACCTTCCAAGGCCATTCAGTAAGTAAGTATTTCCATGTGATTTGAATTCCAAAACCATTATTCTCCTTTCCTTCAACAACTATTAATTTTCCTCAATGTGCTGGGTACTGGGGAAACAGAACAGACCATGACCTGACTTTTCCCTTTGAGACAACGATGACAGTATTTAATATCAGGACAGACTTCCTGGATTCTACCTGCGATGACTCCCCATGCATGAACTTCTGGAGAGCCTGGCCATCTACATGATGCCTGGCCAGTCCAGCCAGCAATGGTCACTTACAGCCTCCTGAAGGAACACTGAGGATGCTTTCAGAATTATCATCAGCCACCAGCCTTTGTCCCAGCCACCTCTCACCTGGACTATTACAAAGCCTCCAACTGTTTTCTCTGCCTCCTGTCACTTTCCTGAACTCAATTCCCAGAGTAACTGCTTCCCCAGTGGGCTCTGTTTGCAGTCTTACCTCCACCCAGATGAAGCAGCCATGTGGACTCTGCCTGCTGTGGGCTTCAGACTCTTCACAAATAGTCCCCACTTTCTCCTAGTCCTACTCTCATCTACTGCCTCTCTCCCCACAGCCTCCCTCCTGCCAGTAAGTTTGCTCTTGCTTCTCCCTGAATATAACAAATACTTTAACAACAAGGAGCCCATTCCCTGCTTACACCACCACCCCCATCCCTCAAATAATTTATTATTATAAACATGTGCTGAATTTTCTAGGGCACTCCTTTTGTGTATGATTTTATTCTTTTCTAAAAAGATGGTTAGTTAAATATATGTCTTTGAAAATCCTTTCCTATGAATAAACCCAAAATTAAGGGAAAAAACATCCTTCAATCTATATGCCTATTTTAGGTTCCAAATTTAGCTAAATATTTATTCCCCAACTCATACCTTCTTTCAATAGTAATTTCTTTTGTGTCCAAATTTCTGAGAGTGCCTGTTGGGCAGAGCCATGGCACCCAGTTTTGAATGACGATATGGCTGGTAAATAGATAGATAAGGATGGAGAATCTGCAGATAGGTCTAGGTGGAGCCCTGAGGCCATAGGAGCCTTACCTGGGGTTGAGATGCAGCATGGTATTCTCTCATCATTTCTGGAGAGTAGAGCCCAGGGACAGGCTTGAAGGGGTTCAAAGCTACCAAGGTGCAGCCAGCATTGGTGTAGAATGTGTCCATCATGTACCGGGCCTGCAGGCACCTTAGAACTGAGGTGGAGATACTTTTAGCAAAGTCTGCCTCAAATACAGATAATACCACACACATAGACAGACCCACATCTGCCTACCAGCCCTCCCTCTGTGATTAATCAAGTTCTATTAGATCCTAGTAATTCCCTGATGAATAGGTACAAGATCTAATTAAGACGAGCCCCAAATCTGGACCAAGCCTGCCCTGGGGAGCCCAGGTGTAGCTGCCAGGCTCCCCTGGGCAGAAGTCTGGAGTGGCCTGCCTGGCTCCAGGTCAGAAGCCTTGCTTGCCTTGGTCTGACTGGGGAAGCTGTGCTGGATACTCTCATTGCACCTCTGCCCCTTGGAGACTGCACTCTACAGGAGAGGGAGGCCCATACCTGTCTCCAGTGTCACAGGATTCACCTTGGTGAGGTCATCTAACTGGTGCAATGGGGCCTCCCCACTCAGGAACTCTTGTATGTCTTCTCTGAGGGACACTCTGCTTTGGTCATGAGAGCTGGAACTGTGGCCATTCAACTGGAAAAGAACAAAGTAAGGACCATGAGAGCTGGGACTCAGACCAGCTAGCAGCTAATATGTTGAGAGCTTCCCGAGTAGAAAAATAACTGGACTTTACAATCAGAGTCTAGCAGGGTTCAGATTTCAATTATGCCACTTACTGGTCCTATGAAACTAGGTAATTTACTTAACTTTGCCAAACCTTCTTTATTTGTAGATAATGTAAAACAAACTCAGGGCTCTGGGGGAGAAGAGATATACATTTAGTCAGGGCCTTGCACACAGTAAATGTTCAATAAATACTATGCTACCTCCTCTGCTAAGAGCTTTAGCCAAGTCAGCTTCTATGGTATCAGACTTACTGAGTCTGTTTGGAGAAGCCAGAGAGGGGCTGCTGTAGGAGTATGGAAAGAGAAATGAACATGGATGGACCTTGTTTTAAAGAGACCTTTCAAAAAAGTAGCCTCATGCCTTCGTCACCTGCCTCTTGAGACTAAATCTGGCCTAGTCAATGAATTGGTTCCCTCCAACCTGAGTCTGCTTGAGCAGATGCCTGGCTCAGAAGGCTGCAACAGGTCAAGAACCTGCACCAAGGGGAACAGGCTCTATCTTTGATGCCAACACTTTCCATATGTTTCATCTCCCTACTTTCCTCCCTTTTCATTCCTGTCTGTCACCTGGCAGAGGGTGAGAATGGAATAGAAAGGATGGAGTGGCAGGAGAAGACAGGCACCTGGCTAAAATCTGCTTTTGAAGGACAAGGTCTGTGACATGACATGTGTGGGTTTCCAATGAGACTGGTGAGCCCCAGAAGTTCAAATCCCTCAGGGAGTCAAGCCATGGTGGCAGGTTTCATCTGAGAAGCCCAGCAATGAGTTTCTTCCAAAGATGCTGCCAGTTCTCTGAACTTTGGGCCCACCATATTCTGCAAGGCAGTTTCATTCCCTCTAGGGTAACATAGTCAGCACAGCTGAATCTATGCAAACCCCTCTCTCTAGTGAAAAACAAAAAACCTCACTCACAAACATAGCTATAAGTTATGAGAAACTCTGATCCAACCAGTAAAATGATCAAGAGCCTGCATTTGAAAGCTAGATCACCTGGGTCTGAATCCTGATTCTACTTAGTAGTTATACAATCTTATGTTTCTTAAACTTTTTCCATTTTGATTTTCCTTATCTGTAAAATGGAATGGTGACTGAATCTACCTCATAGATACTGATAAACATAGAAAAGTGTTTAGAAAGGCATCTGAAATATGACACATTTGTTATTGTTATAAAGGTTGGTCTTCTAATTAGGCAATAAAGCAAGGGCCATAAAATTATACATGTCTTTTTTTTTTTTTTGTACTGAGGACTGAATACATGGGCACTTTACCACTGAGCTGAATCCCTAGTCCTTTAATTTTGAGACAGGATCTTTCTGATTTGCTGAGGTTAGGTTAGCCTCAAACTTGCAATTCTTTTGCCGTAGTGAAGGAAAGGGAGTTGCTGAGTTAACAGGCGTGTACCACCATGCCTGGTTAGAATTTATGATTGTAAAAAATGGACAGTAATCACAACATCAAGAGGGTAGACTGCTTAAATTTTGGAACACCATACAATGAAATAAAGCAGGTTACAAGAAAACACAGTACCTTACAAGTTTTAAAATATATATACTTGAGGGGGAAATCTAGAACAGTCTCTAAATGTTAATTATCTCTGAGTAGTAAGCTTATGGACAATTTTAATGTTCTTTTTCCTTATCTTTATTTTCCAAATTTCTGATACAGACATTTAACTTCTTGGAGGTCTTAGTACCAGAATTGGGATACAATACCACTGTATAGTATATAATACTATATCTTTCTCATGGAGATGTTATTAAGAATTAAACAAAATTGCATGTAGCACAGTGCCTACAAGTGTTGAGCACACAACAACAGCTCAACACAGGGCAGATGCTAGAATGGTTACAGTGAACATTAATCCTTTTTTTTTGGCGGGGGGTACTGGGTATTGAACCCAGATGCACTTAACGACTGAACCACAACCCTGGCCCTTTTTATTTTGAGACAGAGTCTCCCTAAGTTGCTTAGTGCCTTGCAGTTGCTCAGGGTGGCTTTGAACTGCCTCAGCCTCTTGAGCTGCTGGGATTATAGGTATGCACCACTGTGCCTGGCCCAATACTACTTTTTAATAATAAAAAAGAAAATTAAAAACCTAGAGCAGACAACAGTCCTGCCTGCTTCTTTCAAACTTCAAGCCTATTTCATGAGCCAAACAGCAGAAAGGTCAAATGGCAGTATCTATTATAGCTTCTTTGGCTGGCCTGCCCCACACTTGGTTATATTGCTGAGTCTCAGGCATTTATCTACCTAGAACACCACTAGACCATAAATTCCTGCAGAACAGGTACTATTTTAAACATCTGCCTCAGTCTCTTGCTGTGCAACACTTAATAAAACAAATTTCAGCAAATATATTCTGTCATTCTCTCTGATTAGGAATTATATATGAAGAATGATACTAGTATGAGAAGATGCTTCACAGTGAAGGGTGATTTGGAATCATACAGGCCAGAGGTGACAGTAGCTTTTTCAGAGAAGCAGAGGCCTGGAGTAAGAGCAGGTTTCATGCACCCCATGATCCATTAATCAGAATCCTTCTGTATATCCATAGTCATTGCCCACATTTTTTTTTTTTTTTTACACATGCTAATCCCTTTGCCTGGACTGCTTCTTTTCCTTTTCCACTTACCTAATTCCTTCTTATTAAGACTCAGTCTCAAAGAACACTCCGAGAAAGCCTAAGGCTTCCACTGTTCTTCAACAATACATGCTGGTAGAGGCATCTCTCAGGATTCCCTCTCTGTTCACCAAAATGCCTAAGGAGTCCCTAAAGAAAAGAACTAAAAACTATAACAGAACTGATTCAAATGAGTTATCAGGAAAAGCATTAGAATACTATCTGAAGACAGAAAAGAAAAAAGTGCTTCAAGGGTTCTTTCCTGTCTTTCCAGGTTAGGCCAGTGGAAGCTTCATTTGGGCAAACAAAAGATGGGAAGGTGTCTTAAGTGCGCAAAGGCCTGGGTTACAAAAGATTGAGGTTTTACCTGCTGGAGCATCCTGCTTCACTGTGGTGAGCCAGGGTCCTGGGTCGCAGGCACAAGGAGTGCTAATCACCTCGTCACTGGGCCACCAGCATGGCTCTAGCAAAGGGCTCAGGTCTGGAGGGATCTCAGAGAAGTCATCCCAAAGTCTGTGGCATGAGAGAGAAGACAAGGGCCACGCACAGATGAGAGCTTCTCCAGGGTGACTCATTCCTTCTCTTCCCTCTGAGGAGGAGGAATCAAATGAGAACCAGGGCAGGTCTGGGCAGAGAGTGAGTCTGTCCTTTCCTTTTGCCAATTAGGGAACAGGAGAAACTTTGATGAGAGCCTCCAGAGATTCCCCGGGCTAACTGTTGATGCTGCCTTTCGAGTAAAATGTCAGGGCCAGTTTTATTACAGCTTTAGGGTTAGAGTTGTGGTGGGGATGTAAATCTTCTGGGTAAGTATGCCACAGAGGATGAAGATACCTGGGTGTCAGAAAGCCTCATGCCCTATTTTCTTCACCCTACATGGAAACATCCAATTTCAGCTGGTAAGGGGGAGAGAGACTGGAGTCAACACCTGAAGCTCCAGAAAAGCTGCTATGTGAAAGGATATCACAGTTCAGCCATTCATTGGGTGTGTGACCTTGGGTAAACTATAACACCTACCTGGAACCCCCAACTTGAAAATGGGGATACATCACAAGTGGTTGTGAAGGTCAATAAAGTCATGGTTTGAAAGCACCATTCAAAGTGCAAATCTGAATATACAGAGGATAAATATTGTTAACACTGCAAATGAGGGTTGATAATATTAATTGGGTAGAATTCAGGTGGAATCAGTGTCAACTTCAAGGTGAGAGGAGTGTTATAAGGCTAGACCTAGGTCAGTCTCTGAAGAAAGGTAAATTATCTTCAGATTTGGAATTTCCCAGGCCTCAATACCTCCAGCAAGAATAGATGAGGATAAGGGGCACCTGGAAAGGATTAATCCTGGTAGAGACTTCTGAAGGCTCTGGATACACCTAATTTTCAAAGAACCTAGATAGAGACTTCCTTGGAAACTGGAACAAGGGGTAGAAAGGGGCAGTATGATTATGTTGGACACCTTTACTCTGAACACTGACAGTACCCCTCCAAGAGACAGCCAGGTCTCTAGAGACTCAAGGAGAACAAAGCTCCCTGAACTGAAAGCTCATCTTGAGAGAGCTCCATTGGGGGAGCATACCAGGGTGTGGGGTTGGAATCCAAAGCTCACAACCCCACTACTGCAGATCACAAGAGCTACCTTATTATTTTCATTTGCAAAATGAAATAATAATAATATCCAGACCTCACAGTGCTAAATTAAGGCTCAAATAAGCTACTACCTATGAGAGCACTTAGCAAATGTTGGTTATTACCATGTAGCGTCAGCTTTTAGCTGAAGTCGTCAGATTAGAGCGGTTTTCTCCAGTTCTCCGGGCTGCTTCAGCTCCTTCAGTTCGTGGTTACCACGAATTTCTGAAAAGGGCGTGACCACAGTGGGCAGAAGGGAGTAATGAATAGGTGAAACAACAAGTCAAGGCAAGTGGCAACTTGATCACCAGCTCCTCCTCCTATCCGGCCTCAGTTTCTTTCTTGGCTCCCAGAGCAGTGGGAGGGCGCCGCGGAGAAGAGCTGAGTAAGGGTCTTGAGAGATCAGTTGGCCCCGCCCCAGGTTCGTGGCGGGAACTGGGCGATATGCCCATGGTGCCACGGCTAAGATGCCGCGCCGAAAGCACCTGGCACCGGCAGAGTGTGTCCTTCCCACGAAGGTGGACGCAACCTCGGCCAGGGCGTGGCTCTTTTGACCCCTCCCGGGACCAAACGCCCCTCCCCAGTGCTTGGATAGGGCTGGGAGAGGAGCAGGCGCCGGGACCCAAGCTGGGACTCCTCCCCCGCCCCGCGCAGGCAAGGTGGAAAGTGACCGTGAAAGGTCCTTGTTTTGGACAAGGACCACGAGAACTGGGAGAACTGGGCTGCCTCCTCCTGGGACACGAGAATGTCAAAAAGAAAAGGGAAGATGGAAAGAAAACGGCAATTTAGAGAGGAGAGGGGAAGATGCCCCCTCTACCATGGCCCAGTAGGAAAAACTGGCCTCCCTGACCTTTCAGGGCCGCTACAGATTTCGGATCTGGGCTGGGGGTGGCACTCACCGATCCCACGGCCCGACCGGCGAGCGTGCAGACCCCGCCCGGGGCGACTGGAAGGTCGGGCGGGCCGGCGGGAAGATCCCAGGGAGGGGAGGGGAGGGAGGGAAGGTAGGAAGGAGGGGAGGGAGGAAAGCCGGGAGCAAAAGCCTGGGAGAGAAAGTCCGCACCGCCAGATCGCAGCCGGCCCGCGGCTCTTCTGGCTAAGTGGCCGGGAGCCCGCCGGCTCCTCCCCTGGGGCGGGGCGCGCACACGCGGCGCGGGGCGCACGTGGCCTGAGGGGTCCCGCCTGCGGACTCCACTAGGGACTACTCGAGACCCTAGGGTAGAAGCGGGTGTTACGGCAGCCTCCGTTCCGGGGGTCTGGGCGTGGGGAACACGTGTGCCTCGGCCCGTTTGGTGGAGGTCGCCATAGCCAAGCGTCACGCGGTTTCCTCGAACCCGATTTCCCTGACAGGGCTTCGCTGTGGGGTCTGAGGGGCCGAGATGAGGCGCATCACGCGCCTTTTCCGCTCCTCTCACTGATCCGCCCATGGCCATGACTCGAGTGTCTGGGCTACAGAAGCCCTACAGAGGACAGGCGTAGGGAGCCGGCGGGGCGGGGAAACATGCGACATCCGGCGGGCCCGCGCGGAATCTGCCGCTCCGAAGAGTAGGCAGTGCCCCATCGGCCGGAAGCGCCGCTCGGAAGGCGGAAGCAGCGGGCTCCACGGGAGCCTGCTTCTCAGGTGGTGCGGACGACCCTCCTGCAGGGATGCCAGCAGCACCTGGAGCAGGTGAGGTAAAAGGGCAGGGCGTGGCCGTGGCGGGCGTCTCTCAGGAAAAGGACTTGTGCAGGCTGACCGATTCCGACTGGTTAAGGTGATAACTGTTGCAGGCCTTAATGCGCGCATATACTCATTTAATTAGTATGGTTCGTGTTTGGCGAACAAAAGTGTTCTTCCAGTGTGCCGCCTTTCAGACGTTGATAAGTGGCAGAGAAGTGTTTTTTATCCCTTTAAAAAGAAGCCGCTAGGGCTGGGGTTGTGGCTCAGTGGTAGAGCGCTCGCCTAGCATGTGTGGGGCCCTGGGTTCGATCCTCAGCACCACAGAAAAATAAATAAAATAAAGGTATTGTGTCCACCTGCAATTAAAAAATAATTTTTTTAAAGAAGCAGCTAGCCCTTGTATATGCAGCGTGATGCATCTTTTTTTTTTAAATTTTAACATTTATTTTTTAGTTTTCGGCGGACACAACATCTTTGTATGTGGTGCTGAGGATCGAACCCGGGCCGCACGCATCCCAGGCGAGGGCGCTACCGCTTGAGCCACATCCCAGCCCCGCGTGATGCATCCTAACCTAAAAATATGGCTGCCCGTTAAGTGAGGGAAGGAGCAACCTGGGGCTCAGGAAGGTTCGCCCTTTGTACCAGAGGCTGTAGGTACAGAGGTTCTCAACAGAAACTAGTGACCTCAACTACAAAGTGTACTTACAGCTTCTCTCCCTCTTCCTGTGGTTTAAAGTGATTAGTCATGTGTATACAATGTTCATTAAACAGTGTAGAGTACTATGCGCTGTCCTAGAAATTTCTGCCTTTGATGCCAGTCTTACAGTTTGATCCCCCATTCACCTTTGTGAGTGTATACTGAGAAGAGCTTTCCACCAATAATTTCTAACTCTCTTGTATGACATGCCAATCCTACTACATCCATGTTGGCATCTGACCACAGTCCTTGGAAGGAGAATCACAAGTCTTAGGTTCCGCACCTGATTTGAAATCACTAGGGCCTAAAGTTTGGCTCTGAAATCTAGAAATGAGTAAAATTAAATTGGGTATATATGTATGCCAATTTCACAAGAATGTTGCTTTCCACAAATCTATATCTTTGCTCTTGTTTTCACAGGAAGGGAAAAATGTCTCAAAAACAGATGAAAGAAGCTTTTGTCAGTAACCTCAATGGAACCAGCGTGTTGGAAATCAACCAGGGCTTGTGCTTTCCTGCATTCTGTATCCTGTGCAGAGGGCTCCTGCTCATTTTCTCACAGCACTTGTGTTCCTTTTCTCATACCTGGAGAACTCGATTCTTCATTGACTTTGTTGTCTTAATAGTTCCCCTGGTGTACATTTTGACCATTTTGCCTGCAATTATCCTTCCTGAGCATATCACTATAATGATCTGTTGCGGAGGGCTGCTGCTCTATCAAATTTACCAAAGGAGAACTTGCTATGCCAGAATGCCTGTCCAGAAAATCCTTGAAAAATTCATGAAAATCAGTCTAGAATCAGAATACAATCCAGCCATTACCTATTACCGTGTTATTAACAGTATATTTACAGCTATTGCCATTTTGGCTGTGGACTTCCCACTTTTTCCCAGAAGATTTGCCAAAACTGAGCTCTATGGAACAGGGGCAATGGATTTGGGAGTAGGCAGCTTTGTTTTTGGGACTGCAATGGTTTGTCCAGAGGTCAGGAGGAAATATACCAAAGGGTCCAGATTTTATTATCTTACAAAATCATTGTACTCTTCTTGGCCATTATTCTTCCTGGGACTAGGACGGTTAATTGTTATAAAATCCATAGGCTATCAGGAACATTTAACTGAGTATGGAGTTCACTGGAACTTTTTCTTTACCATAATAGTTGTGAAACTGATAACATCACTGCTTTTAATGATTATTCCCCTAAATAAATCCTGGATGGTGGCAGTCAGCATTGCCATGTTATACCAGCTAGCCCTTGATTTTACCCCCCTGAGGAGGTTAATTTTATATGGTACTGATGGCAGTGGCTTGAGGGTTGGTTTCTTAAATGCCAACCGAGAAGGAATAATCTCTAATTTGGGGTATGTGGCGATATACATGGCTGGTGTACAAACAGGGTTACATATTCTTAAGAATAGAACACATATCAAAGACTGGTTCAAAGTAGCATGTTGTCTTCTACTAGCAGCTATTAGCCTCTTCATCTCTCTCTACATACTTCAAGTAAATGTAGAAGCAGTGTCCCGAAGAATGGCCAATTTAGCCTTTTGTGTGTGGATAGTTGCTTCTAGCCTGATCCTTCTTAGTTTTTTAGTATTAAGTGATATAATTTTGAGTTTTGCCAAATTTCTAATTAAAGGGGCTCTAGTACCATGTTCTTGGAAACTTACCCAAGCATCTTCTACAAATAAAAAGCATTCAGAATCTCTAGTCCCAGAAGCTGAAAGAAAAGAATCCAGTCTTTGTTTAATCACAGCTCTGAACAGAAACCAGCTGATTTTTTTCTTGCTGTCAAATATAACAACTGGTCTGATCAACCTAACAGTAGATACATTACACAGCAGTACCTTATGGGCCTTATTTTTACTCAAACTCCATATGTTTACTAACTGTTTAATTATATATTTACTTAATTTGCAAGGTAAAACTATAAAACTTTGGTAATTAGTAGTGACAGGATGATATTTGAGCAACATGATTTTAATAGGGAAGAATAAGTGTGGAGAAAAATCTGTTAGCAACCCAGTCTTAATCATACCTTGTTATAAAGAATTCCAATCCTCTATGAAAGTAATGATTTTTTTTTGGGGGGGGGATTGAACCCAGGACATTTTTGCCACCGAGCTACATCCTTAATGCTTTTTAAAAATTTGAGACAGGGTCTTGCTAGGTTGCTAAGGCTGAACTTGAACTTGTGATCCTCCTGCTTCATCTTCCCAAGTTGGGATCATAGGCATGTGCCACCATGCCTAGCTTATATTTTTTTTATTTGTACTTTTTAGAGATGGGGTCTCTATGTTGCTTAGGCTGGGCTCCAACTTGAGATCCTTCTGCTTCAGCCTCCTGAGTAGCTGGGTTTATAAGCATGTCCCATTGCACCTGGCTGCTTCATTAATGCATCTCAAAATTACATAAAGCACACCAATGAGGAAGAAATAAAGACTTCTGATTTGTTAGAGTTTATTTATTAAATGCCAGTATTTTTAAAGAAACTTCACAGTTTTGACGCTTGGAAGATTGGACCGTGAGAACTTTTATTTTCCAAAAACTTTGCATTTGCCAGTCTATTTTTGATTGTACTACTTTTTATAGTGTTTGTTAATTGAAATGTTTACATTAAAATATTTCAGTATGAGCTGTGAACTGTCAATATTCCTTTACTGCTTAACTTTAGTCTTTTAATAAAGCCTAGGAATAAGAAGTTTATCAAATACTTACGAAGTCAGAAAACAAATGCTCCAAAGAATAGACTATATTGTATGATGTAGCTTGCACCATAAGTATGAAACAATTTTTGCTTTTAAATATTTTAGCCTAGTTTGTGCTTGGGAGACAATGATAAAACAGATTTCCTAGTGTCTTGGCTTGCAATGTGTTGGGGAAAACACATTAAACAACTGAACTGTTAAGTGATTTAAAAAAAAGTATAGGTGGCCTTGAGTATCAAACCAAGAACCCATTTAGTAAGGAATCAAAGTTGATGTGTGGGATAAATTTATCTGTGTCTGAGGGATGGGGTGGGTGTGGGGGACAGTAAAACAGCAGAGAGTATTCCAGATAGGATGAATCTTTCAGCAAAAGTCCATGAGGAGGAGGGAATCCAGCATATCAATAGAAAGAAGGCTGGAACTCAAGAAAAGGGAAGATGTGGGCAGTGAGCTGGAGAAGGTAGCAGGGAAGATCATTGACTATGTTAAGGGGAAAAGAACCAGTGGGAAAAGTGAAAGTCATCAACTGCCTGGTTTACTTTAGTAAAACTATGGTTATACTGTTCTAATGTCTGAGATTTGGAGTCTTGTTCATAAGTCTACTCCAAGTAGACCTATGCTCAAAATCTAAAATTTTCAGAATCCTAAAAATCCTTAGTTTCCAGTTCTAATGTTCTATGTATATCATTTAGAGGGGGCAAAAAATCAATTACAATTTGCCTATAATTCTATTTTCAAGTAGAAATCTGATTACTACAAAAATAGCTAAGGGATGGTCAGAAAGTAAGTTTATATTTGGTAAGCAATTTGGATTACTTGTATAGTGTAGAACAGCTGGAACTTCCCCTAATATTAAATTTTAATTTGTTGCTTCTGGAATTAGTTAAAAAATGTTTTACATTGCTTGGGATTGGACTCAGGTCCTCTTGAATGCTAGGAAAGTTCTCTTACTGAGCTATAGCCCAGTCTCCAAATTTATTTTAATATGTTTTAAATGTGACTAGCATACTATTAATTCACAATTTGTTAAATGTATGGCTAATTTAACATTAAGGTGGTACTTTATATTTGCTAACTACAACCGATTACATTTGGAGTTAATGTATTATTGAGATGAATTTCCCCCAAAAGAAATCAGTATGTGGAATAGTTATAGAGCTATTAAAATAAAAACCAGATTTTATTTTCAATTAAAAAGTAAGACTTTTGAAGTTCAACCAACAATATTACAGTATGTAAATTAAGCAGGACTAGGAAAGGGGACTGGTTTTCCTGCTAACTATGTCACAGTGCCAATACTCCACAATTTATCTGTTAAAGCAATCAGAGGAGGGGAGAAGTGCTCAACCATATTATTTGCTCATTTAGAAAAAGTAATTTAAAGTAAGTTATAACTTTATGAATATGTTTTATAATTGGTCTGTTTCTTTTTCTCACTAATTGCTCCTTCATACTTTTCTAGCTCTTACATGTCTCTAGGTTTAGGTCTCCCACACCCCCCCCTTTGGTACTGGGGATTGAACTCAGGGTCCCTTAACTATTGAGCCACACCCCCAGTCCTTTTTTTTTTTATATTTTATTTAGAGACAGGGTCTCACTGAGTTGCTTAGGCTGGCTGTGAACTTGCATTCCTCCTGTCTCAGTCTCTGGCTTCAGTTTACATCTTGGTTGTTACGTATACTGAATCATACAAGAACAAAGTGTACTGTTTTTTCCACCACACTTTCAGTTCTGAAAGTCAAGTAAGAAAAAGCTTAGCATTTATAAAAATGAGAATTGGTATGCAAAGCCACATACATGATTCTACTTTACAGAAGAAAAAGATCAGCAATGATTTACTGGGTTCTAATGTATCAGGATAGATGCTTATGATACAAACAGAAAATAAGACAAAGCTGCCTTCAAGGAGCTTACATTCTAACTTGTGAATATTATTTTCCTTAAAAATTATTTAAGGGAAATTATGTTTCTTTTCTTTCTTTCCTTTTTGCAGTACCAGGGATTCAAACAGGGGTGCTCTACCACTAGCATATGAGCTATATCCCCAACCGTTTTGTAAAATTTGAGAAAGGGTCTCACTAATTTGCTGAGGCTGGCCTCAAATTTGTGATCCTCCTGCCTTTGCCTCCTGTGTAGCTGGGATTACACACATTTGCCCTGCACCTTGCATGTGTTTCTATTTTTGACAGGACTTCCTCCTAATGTCAGCTCATGAAAAAGAAAATTTATAAATCCTCAGATTTGGACAACATTTAGTAATTTAAATGTATTTGACATTTACTACCACATCAAACAACGTAGATATCAGTGAAAACATTACAAAGTATTCTAATCAACTATCATTTTCTTTGCTAGTATCTGGTGTGTGTTTAGTAATGAACATAATTAAAATTGGCTACTACAACTTCAGCTTTTCATTCTCAAACATAATCCAAATGAAGTTTAACTGGCTTAAAGTAGATTAATTGGTAGTGTAAAGGAGCACTTCTAGAAAAGCCACAATATTTTTCTTGAATGTTTTTACATAAACATGATTCTCTAAAAATGTCCAATTTTTTTTTTTTTAAGAGAGAGTGAGAGAGAGAATTTTTAATATTTATTGTTTAGTTCTCGGCGGACACATTTTTGCCGGTATGTGGTGCTGAGGATCGAACCCGGGACGCACGCACGCCAGGCGAGCGCGCTACCACTTGAGCCACATCCCCAGCCCAAAAATGTCCAAATTTTGACTATGTACTCTAAACTGTCTGAAGCCACACTCACATCCTATATGCTTAATGGATTTAAGCTAATGATCACACTGTTCTTTCCTAACATGGTGAAGGTATAAATACCTTTTGGACTTAACAATGGTTCTTCCAGTTTATTATGTCACCTACCTTAACAGTGACCACACAATGTCATTAAGTGAACATGGCTAAGGATGCATTATGGGGTATTTTTATTGTGAATTTCTTAGACTTCGTGTGATGACCAAAATACTTTTTAAAGGTCAGTATCAGCTCTAGCTCATTCTACCAGGACGTATAGATCTGTCCTAAAGATTAATCAGTTGTAATTGTAGCAAATGGCTCTATCCTTAAAAATCATCAAGACTTTCATAGGCAAGATACTTCCCAACAACTATTCTGGCTTTACAACAAGCATTAATGACTGCAAGGTAGGAACTGAGTACATGGCAGTGGGCTGCTTCTGGGAAATGGTAAGGGAAGGGCCTTTGGCCATCACCGGTACTTTGCCCAAGGGAATCCCTAAGTTAACATTAACTCAGCTTAATTAGTTCCTTTGGCCAGGCCACCTACAAAAGCCACTGTCCAGTCTTATATGCTTCTGGTGCAACAACAACAACAAACCTGTCAGCACATGAGTATTTTTCGTTACCCCTCATTCCCTGGCAGGATTTAGATGAGTCCGTGAAATAGTAATGCGGCTGGCCCGGGGTGAATCAGGGTTGGCAGGGCCCTTTCCTCCTCCAATCTTCCTGTCGTGGAAGGCGACCTAGTGGTCAAGAGCCTGGAAACCAAGGCCAGAGTGTCTCTGAGCGCCCATTTGCTTTCCCTCATTGTCGCTGTCCGCTTTTGCTGGCCAAGGAAGCCTCAGTTTACCACTTACCCAAGTCCTCACTGGGTCTCGACCCGTGGGTCGGCCTGGAGTCTGCTACATTTGGCTCCCTTTACTCCAGGCCCCGGGGAGAGCTGTTCCCAGTACCGCGCAGAAGGGGACTGAGGTTTAGATCTACATAATCCTCGTACCAGCACTATTTTTGGTTTATTCAAGTATCTAAACTCGGGGAGCACCCACCGTCTCTCATATCGTCTCCTCTGCGAGGATTTCGAAGGCAGCGATCAGAGAACAGCGGCCTGTAGTCTCGCGATAAGAGGCGGGGCCCCTCCCGGAGTTCTGGGCCCCTCCCTGCCCCACCCTCCCCACGTCCCCCTCCTTCCTCCCCCACTCCCCCTGACGCGGGCCTCGTCAGCCGGTAACGGGGAGCAGTGGGGGTCAGGGAGGCGACCGCGAAAACGGTGAAGGTCAGAACCGGGAACCCTCCTCCGTGAAGGGTGAGGAAAGGGTCTGGGCCTGCCCCCACCCCGTCTCCGCAGAGCTGAGGCGGGGTCGACCCCTCCCAGGGGCGGGGTCGCGCTGGGCAACTGCAGCCTGGGGACTGACTGGGCGGGGCGCAGCGAGAGGGGAGAAAGGGTCAGCTGTGGGCTGAGGGCATCCCTGCGGCGGGAAGCGGGGAGTGGGCTGTGGAGCCGAAGCCGGGCGTTAAGAGTCCTGGAGCCTGGACTCCTGTGACGGGCAGGGAAGCCCCCGGGCCAGCGGGTCCTTTCCGCCTCTCCTTTGGACCCTGACTGGAGGCCGGCGGGCGGGGGGGAGGGAGGCAGAGCAGCGCGAGGGGGCGGGTCCCGGTGCTACTTGGCGCTGATTGGCTGAGCACGTGTGGAATCGGGTGATGGGAAACGCAGCGCGGCTCTCCGGTCCCCTCCAGCTCCGCGCCCTCCCCCCCGTGGCGAATGTGCTGCGCGGCGGCGGGTGCTTACGCTCGCGGGGTTTGGCTGTTGCAGGCAGGAGCTGGGAGGAGGCGGAGGCGGCAGCGGCAGCGGCAGGAGCAGCAGCGGCGGCAGCTGGGAGGAGGTGGTGACGGTGGCAACGGCAGCGTCGGGGACGATGGCGCGACTGGTGGCAGTGTGCAGGGACGGGGAGGAGGAGTTCCCCTTCGAGAGGAGGCAGATTCCCCTCTACATAGACGACACACTCACGGTGAGCGGGCCGGGCCGGGCTGGGCCCGCTGCTCCCCTGGCAGCTGTTTCCCCTCCTTCCCCTCCCCCAGGCCGAGCGCTGCGCACTGGAGAAAGAGTGTGTTGCAACTCCTAGGCGAGGCCTTCTCTCCGGCAGGCCCCGTAAACTCGCCTTTGCAGTGGGTCTCTTGGCACCCTTTGCCTGCCCCAAGCCCAGTGTTCCGAACGCATTTGGAGCCCCTCTTCCCAGGTTTTCCTTTCTTTTTGAACCTTCTCGCGTCACCCTTTCCTTTCAGGAGACGCTGCTTTTGGCAAAGCACGCTCCTTACAGAGGGTTTGAAGGATCTTAGGTGTTTAGGGCCTATCCCTTACAGAAACCACCTACCCTCAGGGAGACTTAATTATCTGGAAATGTCGCAGCTGCATTGCTACCTGTATTTTTTTAATTTTAATACCATAGCTCTCACTACATGAGCATAATTACCGAGGGCAGACTGACATGCTCTTACTCAGTGAAGATTCCACTAGAATGATTCGATGTCGTTGTAAGTAGTCTCATTGCCTGATACATGAAAACTCCTGAAATGATTGTGTTGCTAGGCCATGACTCTTCAAAATGGGTTTTCTTGGCATTACTTCTTTAGTTTACAGGTAGATTTAAAATTTTTTTTTTAAATCATAAGACTAATATAAAAAAGCTGATTGCTTATCTGGAGTATAAAGACTCGGTCCTGGGTAGGTGGTTTTTTTTTTTTTCTTTTTCCTGTTTTTCTTTTTTTAATAGGAGTTGTTGGTGGTATAGCTTTGCCCACCCTCTGCCCTCTATTTCTATACTATTTCCTTTAAAAGGAAATGCAGAAATTTGAATTGAATCTGAACAGGAAATGAGTGCAGTTGCTTGTCACTATTAAGAAATGAAATGAACCTTTTCTGAATAGCTCTTGAAATCTGCACTTTGATGATGCTGAAGCCTTGAATTAAACATTTGCCTATTTTGATAAGACTCCTTATTTTAGCACCTTTGACTTTTTTGCCATTCAAGGGCAATTGATCAGTTTTCTTCCTGGAAAAATATTTTTTTCTTTTGCACTTATCTACTGAAGGTTTTCACATTTTATATAAAATGCAAGTCATTGTAGAGATGCCAGTCTATGCCTTTCTTTTTGCCAATATCAATTAAGACTTGATAGATCTGCAGTACTTTTAAAAGATTGATTGAATGACTTAATTTGTTAGAACTTTTCAAGCAAAAGCATCTATAATTATCTATAAGTCCTTTTTTTTCCTCCCTTCATGGAGAAAGCATGATTTGGCCTGACATAAAGTAAATAGAATTTGTGTTGATGCTTTAGAAATTACTTGTATGTCCTGGTTATGATGGTTTCTGCATTTTTTGCATTAGAAGTGTAATGGACTTTTATTTTATTCTTTTTTTTTAAATTTTTATTTTTTTGAGCTGGATGTCTCATTGTGTTGCCTAGGATGGTCTCAAACTCATAGGCTAAAGAAATCCTCCTGAGTAGCTGGGACTACAGGCACATTCACCCCTGCCAGCTCTGGACTTGTATTGTAAATAGTTAAAAAAGAAAAATAGCACTTTTGATCAAATTAAATGATGCCTTTCTCAGTGTGGAAACTCTTGACATCAGGAGTTTATTTGTTGATAATTTTTTTTTTCCTAATTGCCCTCTTCAACATAAACACTTCAGAGGCACAGTTTGAACCTTGTAGGTTTATTTCCCAGAATGGCTTTAAAAAAAAAAAATTTTTTTTAAATCCTATGGACTTAAATATAAGATACTCTTTTGGTATCTTGAGTATATAATGTTAAAACATGGGGAAAAATATTGTAAATTTTGAGTATTTATAAAATTCTAAGATACTGTTCTCTCCTTATGATCACTTTTAATGTGAGTGCAGCACATTAATACACCTGTCATCTAGCACTTTAAAGTAATCAATATATATGATGCATTTTCCATAATGATATGAATTTCAAAATTTTCTGTAGAAAAAAGATGTAACCTTGCATTGTGGTTTAGTATGGTGATTACTTCACATTTCACTGGATGGTTGAGTTTTGCTTTTATTGTTCTGTGGACTTGTGGCCAAGACAAATAAATTTAAGCTTTTTATCAAAATGATATTTTATTTTGGGCAATTATTTTTTGAAAAGGTTTTTATCCTTAGGGAATGAGTTAAATTTTATTTGTCTTGGACACTTCTACAGTCTTTGAGTGCTGTTGGTAAATGAATTTTAGGGAACATTTTTGTCAAGGACGTGGTATTTAGGAAAACAAGTTCCTTTCAGGACCATTCTACCAAATATCACATAAAGAGTGAATGCAGGGCAAAACACCTGTTGGTAGAGAACTGGGAAGAGGAAGTGAAGATGTCTGAGGTTTATGCTCTGCATTGGTCCATTGATAGTTTGAAGGCAGTGTGTGCCTGAATTTAATGTTTGGTTTGATCTTTGTTCCTAGGGTCTAGAGGTAATGCACTGAGGAAACATTGTGTTTATTTCAAGCACAGTAATCTTAGACTCTTGTTAACAGCTAGATGTTATTCTAGTTACAATGTTTACAGATTACAGGCAGTTACAAATTTTATCATTTTAGTAACCAGCATGCTGAAAATTCTAGCCTTAATAAACTGGTGATTTTAACTTGTATTTATAAAATGAAATTAAGAAACTTGTGTATGAAGAAGTCTCCTCTTTTATGTTCTATCCACATTAAAAAGATTCCTGTGGTAGTTTAGTGGTTTTGAACACTTGAGTATAGTACTGATATAAATGTATTGGAGAAAAATCCCAAGTAAGTAAACTGGTGGAATGCTTAGGAAAGTGTTGACGTAGGTCGCCAAATGCTGTTCAGTGTTACTAGCTGATTGGAGATACCTTTGAAGAATTATAGTTTCTTAAGCAAATAGTTTTAAAAGAACTAATGTAGTCAAAAAGCACACTCCTTATAAAATCTTGAAAAATAACCACAAATTACCCTTAATCCTACTCCCCAGCGATTAGCAGCATTTGATATAATTTCACTTTTATGAAATATAGAAACAGAGTTATCTTTTGTAACATTCTGTAACTTTCTTTCATCAAATGTAATAATGAGAGCACTGTAGTTTTTCATTCTTTTTTTGTTTGTTTTGAGATGGAGGTCTTGCTGTGTTACCCAAGCTGATCTCAGACTCCTGGATTCAAGTGATACTTCTACCTCCCAAATACTGGGACTATAGGCTGAGCCATCACACTAGGCTTTTTGTTATTTTTAAACTTTTTTCTTGAGACAGATTCTCACTAAATTGCTTAGAGCCTCACTAAGTTGCTGAGGCTGCCAGGAACTTGTGATCCTTTTGCCTCAGCCTTCCAAGTTGCTGGGATTACAGGCGTTTGCCACATACCCAACTTTCTTTAACATTTTTAATGATTGTGTAATATTATGTTGTATGATATTCCATAATTTATTTAATCATCATTCCATTATGGAACATAGAAGAGGTTCTAGTTTTTGCTATGAATAACACTGTAAGGATAGAAATAATGAGTTAAATCTTTGCATTAAAGTCCCCCCACCCTCTTAGGCTTTTGGAATTGGAATTACTAGATTGGAGGATAAGAACACAAGTTTTGGGTGCATATTGTCCTGGTGCTATAATATTTTTGGAAAACAGTTTATCATTCCAATTCAAATCAGTCTAAATATGCTAAAAACCATGATAAGAATTTTTTAACTGTCTGAGACTTTAAAAGAAGGGTAGCATACGGAGAGTCATGGGGATAAGGTGTTTGGCAATTGTTAAAAGTTTAGTAGTTAATTTTTTTCAACACTTGATTTAATATTTAATTTTACCAGAGGTATTGGATATTACAAATTTTTGTGAATGCAGAAGTAACAGTGAAATCAAAGTTTTGATAAATACAAACTTAAATACTATTGGTTAGAGCTTGTGAGAATGAACTAAAAATGGATTTTTTTTTTTTTTTTTTTTTTTTATGGTCAGGAAAAACCAGGACAGATACTTAAGAGTGAAAAGTGGGTAATGGATTCAATAAACTTTACAAAGTGGTAATTGCAGCCCAATGACTTGTTCTATTTTTGGCTAGCTAGGATAGGCAACCTCATCATGAAGCTGAATATTAGTGATTTCTCTG